CAACACCAAGAAGTCTCAAAATAATTTTTCTAAATGGAAAAAACCAGAGTCAAGTTTTTCCTTTCTGTTTCCTTTTTTTTTTTTTTTTTTTTTTTGCTTTTATTTGTTTTGTTGATTTTTTTTTTTTTTCTCAACTGGACACAAGCTAGTGTTATCTAGGAAGAGGAACTCCAACTGAGAAACTGTCTTCATCATATTGCTGGTAGATAGGCAATTCAGTATGGTATTTCCTGGATTAATAGTGGATGTGGGAGGGTCCAGCTCACTGGGGGTGGTGTCACCACTGGATTATATTTGCATGCAGTGCAAGCCATGGCCAGTTAGCAAGCTAGTAAGAAGCATTCCACCCTGACTTCTTCTTGAGTTCCTGACTCTGGGTTCCTGCCTTGGCTTCCACTAATGATGGACTATAAACCTGTAAGCCAAATAAACCCTTTCCTTCCTAGGTTGCTTTTGGTCATGATGTTTATCACAGGAATAGAAATCTAATTAGGACAGAAATTAGAACCAGGATCATGGGCTATTATGACAGACCTGACTATGTTGTTTTGGAATGGGGGATTGTGGAATGGGTTTGGAACTTCTAGCTGGAAAACCTATTGAGTGCTAAAAGCTTAATGAGCTGTTGTGAGTGCTTGGAAAATGGGACTGCTGAGAGAGATGCGGACAATGGAGGCCTGGCTTGTGTATTTCAAAGGGAAACAGAGACACCATTGGGGGTGTTCCTGTGCTTTTTTTTTTTTTTTAAATTAAGAATCTGCTGAGGCTATGGGATAAAAGAGCAGTAATGCTAAAGTAAAACCTTTGCTTTAATGGAATAGTTGATATTGCTTAGCTGATACAGACAAATCAGCTGTGGTTGAGAAGAGCATGAATGTGTCATGAAGAATAATTGAGGTTTGGGGCTGGGTGGCAGGACTGGGGTCATTGAAGAGCAACTGGAAGAGGCCATTGGTGAGGGTGCAGCCTCAGTTGTGTTGGAGACACCAGCATAATGGAGATTCTAGGAGACTAGGACAGCAGCAGCTGTGCAGTGGAGCTGGCCTGAGACTATGAGACAAACTATGTGCTCTGTGGATGCCAAATCCAGAGAAGGGTAGCCTCAATGCATTTTGGAGTCCCGAAGATTGTGAGTCCCAGATACTGGAAACTGAGCTATTTATACTGTTGGAATTTTTGGTTTTACTTTGATTTTGTTATACCTGTGTCCTGGTTCTTCCCTTTTAGAAGAGAAAATATGCAACTATCTTTGATTTAACAGGAATCCACAATTAAGAAACTTTGGGCATTTTAAACACACTGAATAAAGTGTTTGAAATTTTGAAGACTGTGTGACTTTGAAAGTTGTATTTTACACTGTAATCTCTATATTAACATGACATCTTAGGGACAAATAAGAAAGGAAAGGTTATATTTGAATAGTGGTGTGTTCGTGTGTCAATTTAACAAGGGATCAATTGTGCTGGCTAGTTTTATAGTCAACTTGACAAGCTCTAAACTTATTGTGGAAGAGGTACCATGATTGAGAAAATGTCACTGTCAGATTGCCTGTAGGGAAGTCCATAGCACATTTTCTTGATTAATGATTCATAGAAGGGCCCAGTTCCCTGGCAAGATGGTCTTTTGTTTTACATGAAAACCAGATAAGCAAGTCATGGGTAACAAGTCAGTAAACAACACTCCTCCATGGCCTCTGCTTCACTTCCTGCCCTGAACAGCCTGATTATGGACTGTAATCTGTAAGCCAAGAAAACACTTTGCTCCCCAAGTTGCTTTTGGTCATGATAGTTACCACAGTAATAGAAACCTAACTAGGACATTTGTCTTATTTTTCGTGTTTATTGTATGTTATTAGCTTTTTGCCTTCATTTTTTAAGTTAAGTTTTTTTCTTTAGTAGCATCATAATTTTATACCTGTCTGTAATGCATCTTGCTTATTTCCTTCCTTTCACTAGTACCTGTCTTCTCTTCCAGTCCCTTTCCCAGATTCATGACTTTCTTTCTGTGTGTGTGTGTGTGTGTGTGTGTGTGTGTGTGTGTGTGTGTGTGTCCTTTTTGTTTGGATTGAAAACTTGTGTTTCATGACCCCAGTTACCTTGACTTCCTTAATAAGGCCAAATTACAGAGACAAAGGACAGTTTATAAGACTGAGAGAATAGATTGTCAATATAATGGTTGACCACTTTCCCTAGGCACCAGGAAGTATTAGAGTTGTGGGACTATTTTAGGTCTTGGCTGTTGTTTGAGAATTAATCTGTCTGTCTTTCTTGTTTGTTTGACTATATGTATTTATTTGCCTGTTTATCATTCTGTCAGTCTATCTATCATTTATCTATCATCTATCTATTGATCTATCTATCTCTCAAGCATCTATTATCTGTATTGTACATATAGCATGTGGTTATATACATATATATATATATGCATGAACATGTATGTATATGTATTTTATGTGTATTTTATACTTTTTAATGATTTTATAATTATACTCTAAGAAGTTTGAATTTTATTATATTTGTCATATTGTTACTATTTATAGTCACATAAAGTATTAAACATCTAGTGATAAATTTACTAAGTATGCCTAAGATATATTTATCTATATATTTCAGTATACATGTCACATATATAGAGATATAGATATATACTGAAAACTACAAAATATTGTCCAGATAAATTAAAATGGACCTAATGTATAGGGCCATATTTGGCTCCTAATTGACCCTATATGAAATAATGTATTTCTTCCCAAATAAGTCTGTGCAAAATCCCTAAAAAAATCATAAAACAATTTTTGTGTTTGTGTAGAAATTGACAAGGTGATATATAAATTCATGTGGATTATGAGTAATATAACTTAATACAATATATAATTTCCAAATTACCTGGCATGGGAAGGAACTTGAAGGAGGAGTTATTATACCTTATTTCTGGCATAAAGATGGACACATACACCCACACACACTCAGCATGAGAACCAGCAGTACTACTCCTAGGTGTTTACCCACATGAAATGAGAGCATATGCCCACTAAAACACTTGTACATAAATGTTTGTAAAATTTTATTTGTAACAGCCATAAATTAGGGGGGAAAACAGATGTCCCTTTGTGGGTGAATGGACAATTATGCTAGATCCATTTAATGAAATACAAATAAACAGTATCCATGCAGTACGTAAGAATGCATCTAAGTAATATTATAACTAGCAAAGGGAGCCATAAGGTAAAAAGTACCTAGAGAATACTGTGCTATTTCCTTTATGTGAGATGGTACAATATAAACTTGTCTGTGGGGACAGAGAAGCACTCTGTACCCATGGTGAGATTATGTGGCAAGTGGATCGAGGAGAAGACAGGGCAGAGGAGAAGATCAGTGTACATGCTTCATGGCTTGCTTATGACTTTGTTTGCATGGATATTGATGCTCATTAAAATTGTTAGATCTATGTGCTTATGTGCATTTTATGTAGTAGAATAACTGCAACTTGTCCATTGTTTTTAAGACTGAGGAAAGTGGTATTTCTGTTTTCTCTTTGTTCTCCAGGGCTATGATGAAATTATTGAAGACATTTTTAAAAAGTGAACTACTTTTTCCCTTTTAATTAGCACAGTCGAAGCGGTGACATCATTTCAGCTGCTGTGTTTATTTTAGGAAAGTCTAAGAGACATGCAGAAGTAGTTTTAAGCCTTGTCATCAACATAGACTCCTAAAAGCCCAGAATGTTCTGAATATATTTATTTTTAATTTATACAAAACGGCTCACATGAATGAAGCCCCTAATTTTATGAATAAGAAAAAGATGGATTCATAATACTTTTCACTTTTCTTCAGAATATTAGATTCTGGACATTTATTACAGTAGAAGGCAGACCAATTTTTCCAAATTTTGAGTTTTGAGGCAAGGTCTCCCTATGCAGCCCAGGATGGTCTGGAACTCAGTGTGTGACAGAGGCTAGCCCAGACCCCACAATTCTCCAATTTTCCTTCTTCTGGTTTCAGTATGAGGGGACTCTAGTCATATGCCTCTGCTTTTCGGTCACATATACTGACATGGGTGTGAGATTCAACAGGAATTCCAGTATCAAAAAGGGAGCCTTCTCCTTCTCTGCCTTGTGACTATTCCCATCAGATTACAAAGCTTGACAATTGAGAAAGCCATGTGTCAGCAGGTCTTTATATCCCAAAGTTTCATTGGTATCAGTAGCTCATTTGTTTTAGTGAAAATCCTTCACACTAGACTGGAAAAACCCTTTTTGGTAGCGCTCATATGGCTTTGGATTTACAACCTGAAGGAAAGCAAGAAACGTAGTGAGGAGGGCAAAGGAGAGGAGTGTTGTCTAGCGTGGTTCTGTCTTAGGTCAGAGGATGTAGATCCCTCTTCTGTGCCTACAATGTGTTTAGCTTCCTTGAGTCGTGTCTATTCTGGAATATGTCAAAACATGCTGACTTGATTTTTGTTTGTTTGTTTGTTGTTTGTTTTGTTTTTTTGCCGAATTGTCAAGTGTCGTGTAACAGAATTTTAATAAGCTGATTCCTGTTTTAGTTGAGAAAATGCATTCTTATCCTCACACCACCTAGTATGCCCAGAATGTTTCTTAATCATGTTACTATAGAAACTTCTTTGAATCTTTTTTTTCTGTTTCTTTGTTTGTTAATTAGAAAACTGCTTGGTCGTTCATTATTGGCCTCACAATGCACAGCTTCTCTCCTATACAGAAGTCTTTGACTACCAAGTCTGACATTCATTTTTTTCTAATTGAATGTTCTAGATGTGTGTACTTTTTCTAATTAGCTTATATTTGTGCCCTGACATTTATTTTATTTTTCTTTTAAGACAAAATATTTAGGAAGATTTTGACATCTAAACTATTGTGGTCTTGCATTTGCAGTTTCCCGAATGTGGTTTCTATGGACTGTATGATAAAATCCTGCTTTTCCGTCATGATCCTACCTCTGAAAACATCCTTCAGCTGGTGAAAACGGCAAGTGATATCCAGGAAGGAGATCTTATTGAAGTGGTCCTATCAGGTAGGATCCTGTTTTCCATGTCTCCAGATTAATTATTTCTGTTTGAACAAGTCTTGGACCTAGGTTATTAAGTAACATAAAACATATATACTGTACTGGTTTCTGTCATGAAATATGATTTAGCTCTGACTACATGAACTTATTTTGGAAAGTCATGTCAGACAGAGAAAGAAGGATCATGCATTCAAGGCCAACTTGAGGTAGAGTGAGTTCCAAATCATATTTGGCTACATAAAAGAAGACTCTTTCAAAACAGAAGAAAGGTGGGACAGAATTTGCCCTTTTTCACCCCTAGTAAGGACTCTGTTATATATTCCTACTGTGTGCTTTCTCCCAGTCTCTAACACACTCACACCCATACCCATACTCACACCTATCCCCTCACTTACACTCACACCCACGTTGACACATTCTGTTAAAGGAAGTTGAATGACTTGGACAGCAGCACAAACAGTTATTGCTATAGTGATGTTGAGGTGCCCATCAGGTCCCCAAATATCTAGAAGCCAATAGAGAATTACAGAAAGAGCTTTTGATTTGTTATGGAATGCTAAGACCAAAAGCAGGGTCGGTTGATGAGGTCTCACCAAGTCCATGATACTAGTTAACTCTCTCCTGGTGATTGCTGTGTTTCTGTCTGCACTACATTTGATTTGGGTCTTAAAATTCAAATTTTAAAAAATTTCAATTCAAAAGTTATTGCTGTTGGTACTCTACCTATCCATACAGTAAAAGAAAATGGATGAATTTTACATTAAAATACAGCATCCTTGAACAGCTGCTTCACCCGTTCTTGTGATGATGAGTGGCTGAGGCAGAGATCATAACTATGTCTGGATTTTTATTGTTCATTTTTAAAAGTGGAGTAACTATTAAGAAACTGGGTTTACATGGCTCCTCTCTACTCCCTGACTTTAGTGGCTGCTGTCTCTCTGACTAAAGAAAATCCGTTGCTTCAGATTTTCTAGACTTCATTTCCTGGAGTTCTTTACCTGATCTGTGCTGTCCTGATCTTCATTCCCTGTATCTGTTTCTTTCGTTTGCTTTGCTTGTTTGCTTCCACTCACGTTTTGTCTCCGCACATCCTCTACATCTTGGTTATATGAAGTCCTTGTTTGCCCTACCTGCAGGGGATAGCTTGTTATCACAAGATAAATTTTCATTTTATCAAAGAAATCATTTTCTATTGTTTATGTGTCTAGTAAATTGCTAAATAAAAATAATAAGCAAAAGCTTTGATGATTTTTCATTAAATTTTCAAGCAATCATGTGCTTCTCTGTGCTGCCATTCTCTATGGATTTCTGGCATTTGCTTACTGCACCTTGTCACTTAGAAGTACTTTTCTGAGTGTTCTTATACTGAATGCTAGGGGCTATCTCAAAGAAATCATTCAGAGAAATCATTTGTGGCATGTATTATTACCATAATTCATATTAAACCTGCAGCCAGGCCACTCTGCAAATAAGGTATTCTGTTTTCTGACTGTAATTTGTGGATATAATACCCAGGCATACATGAGGACTTTTTTTTCCAGGTTTTAATTTTTTTCTTATTATTTTTTAAGCATCAAAACATAACAAAATAAAATGCAGTAAGATACAATAAACCATTACATTGAAGTTGGACAGAGCAAACCAACAGAGCGAAAAGAGCCCCAAGAGAAGGCACAAGAATCATACCTACTTATTCACACATTCAAGAGTCCCAAAGAAGTACTAAATGGAAAACTATAATATATATACACAGGGCATCTGATGCAGGCGTGTGTAGGCTCCATGCTTGTTGCTTCAGTCTCTGAGTTTATATGACCTTAGCTCAGTTGATTTGGAGGGTCTTATTCTCCTGGTACCCTTCATCTTCTCTGGTTCCCATTCTCCTTCTGCCTCATCTTCCACAAGGTTCCCTGAACTCTTAGAAGAGGGATTTGATGAAGACATCTTATTTTAGAGATGTGTGTTCCAAGGTCTCTGTGTGTGTGTAATGTCTGGCTATGGGTCTCTGTATTTATTTTTTAGAACCACTGCCCCAATATTCTAGTGTCTGGGAAGTTGCTCTGCACGTTACCAAAAGAGAGAAGTAAACACCAACCCAGCCACAAATCTTGTGATCTTCAATCTGTCCTGCTACAAAATATGCTAGGGCAATTGTGGCATAGAGCTTATTGGCGGAATTACCAACCAATGTTTGATTTGACTTAAGGCACACTCCATGAGATAGAACCCACATCCGACAGTGCTTGGGTGACCAAGAACCAGACACTAGATAGCCCAGAGACCTTGGGTAAAACAAAAGACTACTGGGCTTAAAATAAAAGTAACAATTAAATGACCCCTAATGATATTCTGCTATAGTCATAGATCGGTGCCTCATTTAGTCAACATCAGAGAGTCTTCCTCCTAAAGCAGATGCAACAGGACTTTTGAAAATTGGGTTTCTAAACTTAATTTCCTTTTCTCTCCATTTTACTTGTGTATATATGTGGTATATTCATATATACATACACATAAATGCACATAGATAGATAGATAGATAGATAGATAGATAGATAGATAGATATAGATAGATTCGCAGCTACATAGATAAGTAGATATCAGAGATGTAGATATTAAATTTTGTCTAGTTACCTTCCTCTTACCTGAAACTTGACAGGTAGCACTCTCCTTCTTGTCCTCTAGTGATTAGCTCCCTGGGCAGGATTACACAGCAGTGTAATTTAAAGAGGACAAATGAGTCTTCCTAGGGCCCTAAAGGTTATGGGACAAAGGATCTTGTCTCATATGCTCCATGTTTGATTGAGGCTGGAAATGATTGGTACATTATGCTTCACCTATAATCCATGCCATATCCTGGAGGTGTTCTTGAGGTTCACCTTCACCAGCACCGCATCTGCCTTTTGACTGGTGACTGGCATAGCATTAATAAACTATGGGCATTTTCCTGTAGTCGGAAGTTTTCTTTAGTCCCGTCTGGCCCTGTGGTGAGGACAAATCTCTCCCACCCGCTGTCCCATAGCCACTTAAAAAATCAGTCAGAAGCTTATATTAATTATAACTGCTTGGCCATTAGCTCAGGCTTATTACTGACTAGCTCTTACACTTAAATTAACTCATAATTACTATCTATGTTTAGCTACATGGTTTGGTACCTTTTCTCAGTTCTGCCTTGTCATCTTGCTTCCTCTGTGTCTGGCTGGTAACTCCTGACTCAACCCTCCTCTTCCCAGAATTCTCCTCTTCTGTTTGCCCCACCTATACTTCCTGCCAGACTACTGGCCAATCAGTGTTTTATTAAACTAGTGTACAAAAGCATTATCCCTCAGCATTTTTCTCTTGAAGACTCTGGTTTTACCTTTAAATTTTATTTACCTAAATTGATTTTTTTTTCTTCCCACAATTAAATTTAATATTTTCCTTTGGTATAAATATAATGTTATATTTTTTGATATATTTTATGTTTCAGCATTGGAAATGTTTTCTGACATAAAATCTCTGCAAAAAGTGAAAGAAAATCTAGGGGAAAATGTAACTTTGAGAAAGGTTATTCATTTTTCTCTCATCTCACATCAGTGATTTCTCTTTTTTTTTGTGACTTCTGAGGTCTTTTATCATCCTCAAGCTGCTTTGAGAGTTCATAGTTAAACAGGCTGTTGCTGGCTAAATGTCTGGCTTTCCTCTCTCTCTCTGGAACATATGACTTCTATGACTAGTAGGTTTTGACCCAGTGGTAAGGAAAATATTGTTCAGAAGTGGATTGATTGGGTAGGAAGAAAAAGAGGAGTAGCCGCATCACAGTGCCCTAGGATACACACCTGGCTTTGGCAATTGCTCTATGTTAAGAAATGGATTAATTTTAGACCCACTGTTCTGAAGCAGGAAATACTACACGTGGATATTTCTCTTGGCAACATCAAAGCCATGCCCAGGTTCATGTGCATGGTATATAACTGTGAAATAATGGTCATGGAATTCAGCTACAGTATTCTTCATGATGGATGTGTTATGGAAGCCTGATTATTTAGCCAGAGCAAATCCAATGGGTTACAGGACCATATTTACAGGACTCAGCCTTCTTGGTACATTTGTTTTGGTCTTCTCTAATAATATAGTTGTATGTCCATGTGCATGTGCATGTGTCTGTGTTGTATAGATGCTTACATCAGGAAGAGTCACGAACAATATTTCCACAAATACAACCAGTTGGAAATCAGCTTCTTTGAACATTTTTATATCTTTATAATAGATTGTGTTCTATTTTTACTCTCACAGGAAGTTGCTTTCTTCCATATGTATCTGTGCCTCATGTTCAAAAGCCTCATTAAAAAGCCAGTGTCCTATTCAGAGAGAAGGTGTTCCTGGTTTGGTCTCAGCCAGTGACACAGGAGCTGAAGTGGAGGCAGAGAGGACCATGTGTTAGGTATAAAATTAAAGAGTTATGGAAACTATTTGGAAGTAGTTGATATAAGAAAAAGAGCTGGGCGGTGGTGGCACACGCCTTTGATCCCAGCACTTGAGAGGCAGAGTCAGACGGATCTCTGTGAGTTCAAGGCCAGTTTGGGCTACAGAGTGAGTTCCAGGACAGGCACCAAACCTACACAGAGAAGCTCTGTCTCGAAAAACAGAAAGAGAGAGAAAGAGAGAGAGAGAGAGAGAGAGAGAGACAGAGAGAGAGACAGAGAGAGAGACAGAGAGAGAGACAGAGAGAGAGACAGAGAGAGAGACAGAGAGAGAGACAGAGAGACAGAGAGAGACAGAGAGAGAGACGAAAGAAAGAAAGAAAGAAAGAAAGAAAGAAAGAAAGAAAGAAAGAAAGAAAGAAAGAGAAAGAAGGAAAAGAAAGAGAAAGAAGGAAAAGAAAGAAAGAGAAAAGGAAAGTGGAAGATGACTCCAGGGGGAGCTTGAGCCACCTGAGAGTGTCAGCATTTTCTTCCCTATTCCTCTTGGTGTTCTTTCGCATTGTTCAGTGTAGTTGCCAAAGGAGTCAGGCCTTCCTTGAGTGATGA